GCTTTCAGTGAGTAGGCAGCAAGAGCATGGCAGCTTTGTTTTCTCCCCAGATCCCCTTTTCAATATATTATTGTGATCCAAATAATGTCTGAACAGATAATTAAATCTTCTGTGATTAAATATTCTGCTTGCTTTCAGGGTATGTTGGGATACATACATTTACTTCATTACCCAGACCAGCTCAAGCTTCCCAACTTTTCCCTGACAAGATTTGGTTCAGTAATACCATCTAGAAAAAAGAATGACTGTATATGAAATGGCATAGATAGTTAATGCCGTGAAACCATAGAGGTTTTTTGGCACATATTAGTATTTGATTTCTTTGAGGATCAAAGATCTAAACTTAAGTCCAGAAGGATCAGAACAAAGTCACTGGAGAACACTTGCAACATGGAGTTCAGCCCAGGCTCTGTACCCTACAAATGCATCAAATCTTTTTACAGGTACTGTCTTGAGTAAAAAAAAAATATCTGAGAACTCAAATCATGAAACTGTCTTAAAAATACCTGGCCCAGGCCGCTGAAATAATTAATATTTGTTACATTGGACTTTTAACCTGATGAAGTTGACCACCTGTATAATCTGTGAGAAGGAATCTGTATATTTACCAGCTGCCTTTTCTCCTTGCTTGATATATCTGCTGAGAAATGTGTCACAAGCTCCTGTTTCACCAGAAATACTGAAAGACCAGAAATTACTTTAAAAGTAATCATCTATATTGCAGAGTTTCCCCATTGCATCTGTTTCCATCCTATCCTACTTTTCAGCTATTGTAGCAGCAGGATCTGAGAGATGGGTCTTTTGTTTGTTCTAGAGGAGAAAACCAGCCTTTTCCCTCTATTCTAGCCCCTGGGTATTGCCAGAATCCACTGAGATCCAAAATGTCTCTTTCACAGCTGTTTCAAAACATGTTGTCTGATAATCCTTATTTTCCTCTTTGTTCAGTGCATAAGACCAAGTAGCTGGGAAAACAAACATTTGACTTGAGGTTGATTTTAGCAGATTAAAAAACCTATTCCAGTTACCCTTTCATCACCACCTTGTGGTCATTCCAGATGATGCTGTAATGCTTCAAATATACATTAAAATGAAATGGAAATAAAATACTTTTTTCAGCCCAGAGCCCAAAATTTTATTTGCTCAAAGGAGTAGAATGTGGTGAAGGTTATGTGGTAATAAAATATTTTTGAAGGTCTACTTTTTATGAAACTTTAAGAGAAAGAATGTACCACCATATGATTTTTACCTAATGTAATTGCTTGAATAGATATGGCATAATAATTGGTCATCATTATATGCAGGTTTGTCTTAAAGTATTTAAATTGAAAATTTTAATTAGATTTTTTAAATCCATACTAACAATCACCTCTATTTAGACTCCTGTGAAGATTCATCTTTTTAAAGTAAGTTTATTCTTCTGTATATTTGAGAATAAGAAAAGTGACAAAATAGAAATTAATGAGAATTCTTTTCACATTAAGTCTAAAGACTTAAGAATTTAAGCATTGTAAGAATTCATGCTTCAACCCTATGGCAAAGATCTGAAACAAGCAGAATTGAATCAGGGGAACGTTGTCTCTGATGTACTTGATAGCTGTAATTTAAATCATTGTTTTCAAATAAAACATTGAATTTGTAGTTGCCTCTCAATAAATGGGCCAGAACACAGGAAGAGTTTTTATTGTGATAAGGTACATATAGGAAGGAGTTTGATAATTCAATGTTTTTCCTGGTGTAATGGGCTGAGACTCACTTGTTCAGAGGGTTGCTTGTGCTTACCCTGTCTCTTAACATGTTCTGTTTAGATGGCATTATCAAGCAACACATGAAATGAATAAACTTTACTTGACTCAATGTAAGATAAACTTCTGATGTAAAGATATTAAGCAAATCACTTAATAGGAAAAAGTTCATATGCATGAGTTGAAATACCAGCTGCAGCAAAAATAAGCAAGGGCCAACAAGCCTGCTATTGAAAGACAGCAGTAAGAGAAGATTAGGCAGGCACCATAATTTTTGTATTGTTCCACCAGGTGCATTGTGAGCATTTGCAATCTTATCCTGAGGATTTAACACCAGAAAGTTCCAAATCTCTGAGATCATCCCAGCCAGATCTTTTGCACTGTTTGTCAGGCTAGAGCTTGTAGATTTTTAAATTCTTTTGCACAGAGATAAGTAGGGCTCTCTCCAGGCTGATTATTATCCAAAGAATAATCCAACTGAAGCCAAATCCAAATTTGATTGTGAATAAAAGTCTGGATGCTGACAAAGTCTATATGAAGCCCTAGCACTATGTGCACTTTAAATGCAGCCCTCTGAACCAAGGATGTCCTGCTCAGTGGTAGCCATGAGTGACACATAGCCCATTTTATGATCCTACAAATAGGAATTAAAAAAAATCAAACTCAAATTTGTTATTAGCTCACTTTTACAGCAGATATTCCTGTAGCTGAAATTCTGACCTTTTATTCTGTTGTAAACAGGAGCTAAATCTTACTCCAGTAGTGTTACTGTGTTTGCAGTCTCATTACTGAGAGAAATACAGATGAAGGAGATATATGGGTGTCTGCAGACCTTGATAGATACTTCATAGCCTTATGGCTGTTTTGCCAAGCTGGGCACTATAAAAACCCCTTTAATGGTAGCTAAAATCTTCACTGATAATGCAATAAAGGATGGTGGCTGCATTCTTATGACATTAGCTCTTCATCAGTTCCTTTTATTTCTAAAGGGAAAAAAACTATCTAAATCACTGATACGATTAGGACAAAAGTTTCCATTGGCTGTTAGAATTATGGATCTGGATGAGATTTCAAGGCTGAAGACAGTTAAATTCCAGAGAACTTAGATCTCTAGTCAGCCTTTTCTGTCATATCATCCAATTATCCTGGAGCATGTTTATCTCTGGAAGAGCAGTTCCAAAGAATAGTCTGATTTGCCCATTGCACTTGTGCTCCTCTCATACAAGGCACAAGCTGCTTTTGCACTTCATATTCAGGCTTGATCTTGTCTCTGTCTCACACAGGTCTTCCATACAGCTGGCTTGTGCCAGATTCCTGTTGTGCAGTACATCTTCAACATCCAGGGTCATGGCTCTCTCTTCACTTCTGTGCCATGACAACCCCATTGTTCTGGTGGATTATTAGGTCCTTGAAGCTGGGCAGCTTCCACCCTGTGTCATTTTGCAGAGCTGGGCTTCCTGTACCTTCTCTTCCTTGCCTCTGTTATGGGGCTGATTTGTGGCTGATAAACCCCACAGCAAAGCTCAAATGGAGTAGCTGTTTCTTCTTGTCTGTGTTTCATATCAGAGAGAGTTTTCTTATTCTGAGCTCATGGAAAAAACGTATTCTTTCTTTAGGACTGAAAATGTGAAAATTACACAGCTTCTCTCCAGTCCTTCTACAAAATGGCAACAATATGTGGTTTCTTATGTTTATGGTGTTGATGATTTTGCAGTGAACTGGTACTCAGGCATTAGCAAGAGTGGAGTTCTGAGCCAGTGTCCTGAAACTGAAGGCCTCCCAGATACTTCAAGAGAACCTAAGGAATGGATCAGAGGCCATGGACACTTGACACATTCTCCTCAAGCTTGGCAACTAGTACCAATCCTCTTCCACATGCCTGTTCTAGTGCATACTGTCTATCTCTGGAAAATTCAGCATCATCAGAAGCAAAATCACACAGCCTGGGGGAGCTTGGAGCACTTGTCAGGCCTATTTATCCATTGAATACTTGACTATGTGAGAAGCTGTGCTGGAAAGACCCCTCTATTATTGTAATTTGCTCCTGCCACTTCTGGCAGTTATTGGCAGGCCTGACAGGATATCCTAGATTTGCATTCTTTGCTCCCCATCTCTAAAATACTAAAACAATCACATGACTTATCCCAATGGTAGAGAGTTAGTTGCTTAGATACATGATCAGCATTCCCATTTATAATAATCAAACACCTTTTTGATGCAGCAAGACCACTTTCACTGCAGATTTGATCTTCATGTTAATTTAAAAATATATTCAGGGCAGTGTAGCTTTCTGCTACAGGATTCTTTGTGGCTTTCAGTCACGCAGTTGCATTACCACAAAGAACTAATAGCAACCCCAATCTAGTTTTGTGAAGTACTGACTGTGCTACTTCTCAGTGCAAAAGAAAAATGTTCTTTTTGCTCTGATGTCTGATTTACACACCACACTGTCTTTTTTTCAAGAAACTTTCAAAAACCCACTTTTTTAAAAACAGTTTACATTGCTTAGAAACTCTAGTGCCAACACAGGCACACATATAAGCCTTCATGCCTAGCTGGTGCCTCTTAGTATGTTTATAATTTAATAAAACACAGATGGGTCTGTGCAAAAGCTTCTTTTAGCTAACAGTCAACCTACCAATTGTATTAGGTGGAAATCTTACTTTTGCCTGTGCTCTTCAGATGTACTGCTGACGACAGAGTGGTTGTGAGGGGGAAAAGCATAAGAAATGTCTGGGGCACAGGGAATGTCAAAACCTCCAAAATCAGACCACAACAGGTTTATCTCTGTCTCTTGCTGTACGTAGTCATCAATGTGGTCATTCTTCTGGTCATAAGAAGAGAGCTTGGTATGTCAAGGCATGCAAAAAGAAAAACAAAACAAAGAGGTTTTTATCCAATGCAGACATATTATGGCTTCTGTGAAAATTCCCAAGGCTGGTTGCAACTTCAGGTGGCTCAGTGATACAGGACAAAATAAAATGGAAATAAACCTATCCACAGCATCTGCGTGTTTCCAAAGAACAATTAGATTCATTTATATTCCAGAAGCAAGAACAAACATATAATTTTTCTGTAGAAAAAGCATCCTTGCAGTGTTTCCCTTCTGGAGGTGCACTCATTGGCAGATTTGAGGCCTCCCAGAGAGTGAGTGAGATCCAAAATACTTAATGAAATTAAGGTTTTCACATGGACACATGTAATTCCAGTAATGAAACTGTGCATTGTTCTTTCTCATCAATGGCTAGAAGGGGCCAGCTAGAAGTAGTTGCCACTGGTCATGGTGTTGACACAGCTAGAGGCAAAAAACAGAAAGAAAATCTGGCTCATGACTTTCCGCTTCAACCACTGGCTCTGCTGGTTTTGACCCATTTTTTGAGAAAAGGGTCTCTACATGGAATATCTCTGTAAAGTGGAAGCCAAGGATCTCAGTGCCACAGGCTCTCAAGACAGCTACTGACCCACACAGGGCAGGTAAAGTTAGACTTTGTTTTTTCACAGCTCTTCATCTTTTTCATCTTTCTGGCACACAGACTTCTCTTTCAGGCTTATGTGATCTACAAGGAAAAAATTCATAAGCAAGTTCCTAAAGCAAGATCATTCTTCATGGGGCATATGGACTAAATGTTGTGACAAGAGTGACACTTGCTTGTCACTCTTCCTCAGTTTCCTTCCTGCTCTTCATGACTATTTGGGATTTGGTTTGATGGTCATGGTTATAGGTTTCTTCTTGAGATATTCCTATGGGACTTTTCCTCTGAACCCTAGAGGCTCATGACAAATCTAGCAATCCTAAATCCCCCTGACTTGGGAAATGCAATGAGTCTTGTTCTCTGCCCTGTTACTCACCAAAGGCTGTGTCAGTCTTTCTCCATTTCCCTTTTTGGAAATGGCATGCCTAGCCCTTTGTTTTTATTTTGCTCCTACTTAAAAGCTTAGGATTAGCTTGAATTTCAATTTATACAGATATCTTCCTGTCTCTAGTAATCTTTCTGTTTCAAAATTATATAATTGCTTTTCCCAAGACTCCTAGGATCTGGGTCTACACTCACGTATCTGAGTATAAAATCTTATAGCAGCACTGGACTATACCTGTGCTTTCATTCTCTGGATGTTCCTTTGGGAAGAAAGGAACATACAGGACCGTCCTCTTTGGGAAGAAAGATTCAGTGAATAGTGCACTGCATATAAGAATTGTACAGTTATGAAGTCTTTATCCCCTGATTAATTCTGGCCAGGCCTTTATGAGAACTCAGGGCTAATAGAAAGGCAAAGACTACAAAACATTTACCACCAAATCTCAAATATGTCACTGCTTCAGGTTTTCAGATGAAATATTATCCACACTTTCTAGTGTGAGAAAAATGTTAATCTAAATGAAAAAGTAAACAAAAAAATATCAGGCTGAGGCAGATATTTACCACAGTAAATTCCAGCCCAGACTCATAGCATTTGATAATATGATAAACTGAGACTTTTATAACGGGAACTCTTGCACAATCTTAAGAGTTGATTGTTCCCATCCCATCTACAAGCACTCACTCATGAGTCTTCACAGGCTTGCCTAAAGCCTGTTTGTGAAAAAAACATGGTATAATTTTACCAGACTAAAAGGGTTTTTCTCCTGCTCATGTTTCAGGACATTCTTTTCTGGAATAAAGCTTTTTAGGCTCTCCTTTTTAATCTAATCCCTTTCCAAAGTGATACATTTCACTAAGCAAAAGGTCCTGAAGCCACTTCTATAACTTCCATTAGGCCCACTGCATGAAAGGAAAGGGTCCCTGGATCAAGATGCCACACTCTGTAGCCTAACCTAAGCTCAGCCTTGTTTCAGATTTCAGACTTCCTGTTTTCTATTGAGCAGGTAATTGCATGTAGTTTTCTAACTATAATCCTATGCATGTTAGAAAGGCTATTGTGAGAGTAAACATGCTGAAGATTAAGAGGTGCTTACCCAGCAAGATATTGCTAAAGTAGGATAAATAGAACAGAGCCCTCTGGAGAGCTGACACACTGAAAATATGGGGGTGGATTTCTCATAATCCCCTGATGGACAGATACATTAAGTAAAACTTAAAAGAACCTGTGGTCACAGATTTTCTCCCTTGCAAATAAGCAATCTGTGGCAGGGGAAGATTTGAAACTTACTGATCTCTCTTTCGGTAATGGAAAGTTAGAAGCAATGGCTTGTTTTCTCACAAGAAGCTCCACCTACTCTTTGTTCACTTTGCACCATTAGTGTGAACATACTACATACTACATCAAGATGATGATAGGAAAAAATAGCAAAGAAAGTTATATGTTAAATGCACATTATTAAAGATTTGAAAATCAGGCAGTCAGAAGCAGTAAGAAAAGGCCCAAACATTGCATAGCACATGTGCATTATTTTACAGTCAGTAATTAGTCAGAATGTGGCAGTGTACACAAACCACAGGGAAAGACTATGCAGAAAGAATTAACAAGGGACATTGTTATTTTGACCATCTGTGGCTGGGCCTGCACTGGAATGACCTGCAGCTGAGGCAAATGGTGTCTGTAGGAGAAAAGAAACTGCAGGGGAAACAGCTTTATTAGAAGGTCTGGTGATAGCCCTTCACTTGCTTGACCCTGACCCTGTGCTGGAACTTGGAGTAGTGTCTTCTCCTGGTCTGAGGTGTGCTCTCCTTCCTCCCCCAAGAGAGTTCAAGAATGGAGAATCAAGTATCTGCAAATGGGCAAAGCTCCAAAGTCTGTTTGTGATCCTGTGGGTTCCAGGGTGTGATGCTGAGCCTTGCTGTCATTGAGAGAACAAAACCTGTAGCTGGGTTTGTAGAAAGAAGCTTCTAAAAGAGATGCTACTGCTTTCTTTTCTCTCATGCTCTGGCTGGATATCCCCATCTGCAGTGATGATGTTACTGCTGCAATCTCAGCCTGACAGGCCCTAGCAGGAAGGACCAGAGCAACTTCTCTGCGGCACTTGGAAATTTTGACCCAGACTAGTGATGGCTCCTGGCCGTACCAAGTTGCTTGGGCTCAAAGTTGAATGAAATGTTCAGAACAAGTACACTTGTTAATGAGGTGTGTCCTCACAATGTGTGCAAAGCTCAACTGATTCAAATCAGTTGAGTGGCTTCCATTGTGCTATATTTGTTTTCCTACAGAAGCTCACTCACGAGGGCTACTACAATATGTTTCTTTTATTTCTGCAAATAAGGGTGAGGTAAAGTCTAGGTTTGAAGAAGAAACAAAAGCAAAGATCCAATTAAAATAAATTCCAAGATGCTATATTTACATGGCTATTTCATTTGTCTCAAGTCTCAGGCTGTACACTTCATCAGAGCATTATTAGGAATGACTGTACCATAGAAAGTAATTCACCCAGGACTACATTCACCAGCATAATGCCAAGTGCTACATGAGTACGATATTTTGCTGCTGCATCATGAGTTGACATACAGAACAATTAGGCAGCTGGGTGAATGTGGGTGAGAAATTATGTTCTTTTCACCTCCAACCCTTTGTCTGCTTCAAAAGTGGACTGAAAATTCTATTTCTCTTACATTTGCATGGGAATACATTTATTAGTAAGCCTCCAGATATTTTTTAATCTGGTTATTCATATCTTGGTGCATGAGACTACATAGACTTGCCAATGTTCTTTCTCATTTGTTTGTTACATGTAAAACCAAGGTAACAGTTCTAAATATGCTATCTATTCTTTAATCTCTATCTTATGAATCAGGCAAATAACAACACTTATCTTTAAGGGCAGACAGAGAGTTTAAACTAAGCCAAAACAGCACTTGATTAACTGTGGGATTTTGGGGTTTTTTTCTGGGGGGGGTTGTGCATTTTTTTATTTTTGGGTGACTTCAGGGAAGATTCAAAGGTCTTTCTAAATGTTGAATCTGAATACTTAATTCTAAGGCATTTTTGGTTCAAGTAAAATTGAGGCATTCATAAATTCAACATTATTCATAAGGGTATATTTCCAGCTCTGCAGCTGTACATCAATGTCATTGTGCACTTATTTGCCCTTACTTTTCCAGCTTGTCCATAAGAAGGCTTAGAAGATCATGCCAAAAGTCTTTAGGAGAAGGCATACATCATTGCGTGCTCTCCCTGCTGCCCAGAGCAGGTCAGTCATTACCTTGGTTACACAGTCACTGCTGAAGCCCATGTTATCACTAGTGAGAGCGCTGCAGGGGCATGCATGAAACACCAAAAGGCCCTCATAGAAGTATTAATTTCCTGGAGTGCACAATTTCTCTCACTTAAAATGTGCACCTTGTTTTGTCCAGAAAATGCTTTTGTTTTTCTGGATGATACCCAAATCTGGTACGCCTTGTTGAAGGCATGTAACTCAGCCTGTGTCTCACTGGGTAGGGGCCCCAAGCAGCCACTTGGATCTGCAGTCTGCTCCAGAACAACCTCCTGTCCTCAACTTTACATGTCAGTAAAAAGCACAGTTTGATGCACATTGCTCTGAGCAGTTTCAGTTATGAGATTTTATTAAAATGAATCTTTTGTCTACCTTTTTTTTTTTTTTTGAGGAAAATCTCATTATGAGTGCCCAAACGCAGAGAAATCATCAGTTTACATCAGGCCAAAAAGTCACACAAGAGCAACTAGCACGCATGGCTATGTAGCCGGAAACCTCTAGATTTGGGGCTTCTTGTTTTCCTAACAAAAGATGAACATTTTCCTAAGCTGCTTCCTGCCACTTGTTGTCCCAAAAACAAACCCCTATGACTTTCATTCCTTTTTCCCATTTCTTCCAAGAGCAGATGAAGAAAGGCCATTGTGATACTTTCTCTGCTGTGAGCTTGCCGTGTGACCTTGTGACAAGGAAATCTGAAGTCAACCCCCTGACTGGCCCTGTTCTTCTGGAAGACTTCCAATTCTTGGAGAACACAGGCCAATATCATCATACTCTAGCTCCTGCAGTGAATATTTTTTATTTTTCCATTGAGCTGCTGATTAGCAGCCTGGTTCTGATGCAAGTGTCCAACAGCAGTGGGGACCACAATGCTAAGAAGCAATTGGTGTGCAATTCCCTGACCTTCAGCTCAGACAGCTCCTTGCTCCCAAACAGGTCAATCCACTGGGTCATGGATGAAATAGCAAGGGGCATCACTCTTGCCAACAACCTGAATTTGTTGGAACCTATTTCCTTTAGTTGGTATTAGGGGTTTTGGATAGTTTTTTGTTTGGGGTTTGTGGGTTTTTTTATGTTTTATTTTGTTTCGGCTTTTTTTGAGGAAGACAATAGTTTAATACTGGTATATGTGAAAAAAACCCAACAACAACAACACCAACACCAACAAAAGACAAGTACCACAAAAAAAACGCATGCAATTTTTTTCTGCTGTTGTGATTTAACCCTGGCCAGCAACTAAGCCCTCCGACAGCTACTTGCTTATTAACTACTTCCCCAGGTGGGATTGAACAGAGAATTTGAAGGGTTAAAATGAGAAAATTTGTGGGTTGAGAAGAAAACAGTTTAATAGTAAAACAACATTGCATGTGTAGAAAAGCAAAACGAGGAATTCATTCACTACCTTCTATCAACAGACAGCTGTTGAGCCATCTCCAGGAAAACAGGGATCCATCAGGCATAACAGTGGCTTGGGAAGACAAATGCCATAATGCCAAATTTCTCCCAGGGTGTGCTGCGTGCTGATTAACAGCTGAACAGCAGTCATGTCTATAAACTCAATCTAGCACATTCCAACCAAATTTGTCATCATCATGTACTGAACACACCGGCAAGAAGGGCAGTGTTCGGTGAGGGGAAGGAGAGATACTCTTGTCTGCTCTGGGAGTTGCCCTGGAGCCTGTGCTGAAACTCCGACTCCAGAATGCTCAGGCTGTTGTATGCTCTCTCCTGCAGAAGGATTTGGGATGGCTTTGAGAGTAAATAGAACAAGGAGTAGGGGAAAGGCTTGTTACAGAACCCTGTGGTCTCTGGTATGGGAATCTGATCTCTTTTACCCTCATGGAGGAAAGAGAGACCCTGACCTATTCGAATGGAAACTGTAACAAAAGCTATGAGCTATTTTTCCTTCGGGCTGGAGACCTGGCCAGTCTGGAAAAAAGCTAAAGAAACCCAGTAAGCGGAGCTCACAAAGAATATGTCCTGAGTACCACGGACACTGATGGCTGTGGCTGACCTAGGTCACATCTTTTGTTGATATCTCTGAAACTGTGAGGTGCCCTGGAGCCTGCGAAGAGAGGGAAGGGAGCTGACCCTCTCTGTGTGGTCCCTTTGTGCGTAACACAGCCCGTGAGAGCCGTGAGAGCTGCGGCTCTGCGGACGGTCCAGCCCCAGGGCGAGCCCGCCAGCAGAGAAGCTCTGAGCACCAAGCTGTGCAGGGGCAGCTGCTCAGAGCTGCTCAGCTGCTGCACAGAGGAGATGGAGCTGAGCACGAATTGCGGGCAGGCAGCTGATGAGAACTCAGAACCAGGAAAGCTACAAGTACCTGCTAAAGTCCCTGTGGTTTTCTGCTTGCTGGCCTCCAGGTAGTTAGGTTACCATAAAGAATTAGCAGTATTGTTTTTAGCTTCTGAATTGTTTATTCTTCTAGCTCTTATCTCTGGGTGCATTCACATTGTGTGTCAGCTCTGCAGAATGCAGACTGTGCTGTGACCAAACAGCTCCATGTGTTAACAGATGGACAGAATGGAGCTGGTTCTGTAAATGTGAAAGGAGGAATAACATGGTGCTGAGCCAGCAGAATCACCGTCTGCATCCTGCTGGTGTCCTGCAAAAACCTCCTCAGGCAGGGATTACGGCAGTATATTGGCTGCACCAGGAAAGGGTGAGAGGCAACAGGACCGTGGTAGAAAAGCTGCACAGGAGAGGGAGTGCAGGGATTCAGCATTTCCTCTGAGGCATTACGCTGGATAACTGTTGCATACGTTACTGTGCTGAGGCTGAAAAGCAGGATTTTTTGATCTTCAATGTTTGGATGAGGGGTTTGGCTCTGACTCCTTCAGTAGCTGATTCAGATGTGAAATGAGGCTCACAAAGCTTGAGACATGGGGTCAGGCGTGGGTAGAAGCAGTGAAGGAGCAACAAAGATCTAGGTCGCGTTCCAGCCTAGACTTCTCTGGTCTCTGCCCTCTCCTCCTCCTTGCACTTGTCCTGCAAACTAACTCAGCCTTAGACAAGTATTCTTCCATAGTTCAGAGGTTTAGCAATGGCAGTATATCATCAGATGAACAATTAAACTCAAGGGTTCCTTTGTGACAGGACCAGTACGATGTGTTTAAATAAATTAACATTCAAGACCTGTGTTCTGTGGGCTGCAGCTCTCTGGATTATGCAAAGGGATAAATTAGAGTGAGCCTTAGATCTCAGGATTGGAATAATTTCTGTGCTTCATGTATCACAAAATAACTGCTCAAGCTCAAAAAGATTCTCTCTTTTTTTTGTTTTTGTTTTTGTAGCTGGTGGTAAAACACTTCAAAATTTTTATTGCAAAAATGAGAGCTGTTCAAATTTATCTTTAGTCCTGTGTGGTCATCCTGGGAAAGCTGCTGCTCAATTACTACACTGTTACGACGCAGGGGAAACTTGGGATGCTCAATGGAGAATTAGCAAGCTTCGTTTATTAATAAGAGCATCAAATATTTATGCACAATAAGTAATAAGCTCATACATATTCTGTAAATTAAGCAGTCTATTGGTTATACTGCAATATCAGCTCTTCCTCATACCTCAGGAGTTACATCTCTCTTTTCTCATGTCTCTTTCCTAATTACTGCATCTTGTTATCATGATACAGCCATGTTTCAAGGCTACAATGTCTTTGCAGGTGTAGGAACTAGATTAGCTGGGTTCGGTACTTTTCCAGCCCTGAGTCAGCTAACAAGAAAATGTCTACATGACCTCTGTCATGTAGTCATTCCTCCACACTACACACAAACACTTTTTCTGGATTTTTTTTTCTAGAAGACATGCTACTTAAATACTAGAATAAAAGGTACCTGAAATGGAATTACTTAATTTAATACAACATGAGCTAATTTCCAATTGCATATATGCTAGATTTGACCTTACACAGAAAGACTGACACTTGCATGCATGGTAACAGCACCTGTAGTTGCATTAGAGAGAGAGGATGGAAGACAGAGCTGACAGGGTTGGGGAGGATCCTGCTTGCAAGCTGTGCTTCTGCACAATTACACTGGCTGCACTGTAGATGTTCGCTTCCTTCTTCTGAGAGCTCTGGTTCTTGCTGAGTTCTTGCTGCAGGCTGCATCACTGACATATAACAGCACTTTCTCTCATCTTTGCTCAAGCCCAGACACCTCTGCAGGTGGGAGCTGCCTTGGTTTGCACCAGTTTGACATTGTCCCAGGAAACAAGGCACCAACACCATAGATGTGAGGACAAGGCTGTTGGTGGAATGCAGTTTTGGTTTCTAGGAGTGTAAAAACAGAATTCCTCCCTTTTATTTGTTAGAGAAACCCAATACCATAAGGCTTCATGTCTGCGGTCTCACATGAGCATGACCAGAGCTGGCCATGCTCCAGCCAGCACCCGAAGGAGAAGTGCCAAGAGCCCTGGCACAGAGTGGAGCTAGATTGTGACTCAAAGACAGCAGTTAGTTCTGCCTCTGGTGTTTGCAGAGGAATTCGAGGCAGCAACTGCGCCTTGTGCCAGAGGCCAGCTTAGACAGACTAATCAGCCAAGCTGCCAGAAATCCCCAGCAGTTACAACAGCAGCAGACCTGTTCAGCTCTCATGCAATACTTCCTGCCTTTCTATACTGACCCTGCCTTCCCTGGCTTTCTTTGCCTAGCAAAAAAGAGGCCAAAAGACTGGCTCTGAGCTCAGATGGGTATTTTGCTGCTGCTTTAATCTTCATAGCCTGGCAATGTTTATTCAGATCCCTCCATCAGGTGGAAAATCCCTAACCATTCCCTTTGTACTTTTTCTTCTGAATGATTTATGGCAGCAGGAAAAGCCAGGTGTGGACTTCCCTCCCTCCCTGTCTGCCTCAACTGAGCTGTCCCAGTCCTCGGACAAAACTCCATGAACACGTGCGGGACTGATGGGTTTGGGACAGACTGAGGTGACCGTGCATGCCACTAATTAGTACCAGAAGTCCTTCTAAGCTCCTCTGGACTGGCCAAAGGGGTTTGCGTGTATTGTGTCCCATACATACCTATTAAAGAAGATGTAGAGCTCAAAAGCAGCGAGCAAGAACAGGAGACTCATAAGGCCGATAAGGCTGATGACACAGGGAAGAAAGAATCCAGTCTTCCCTAAGGAGAAACAGATGCTCTTTTAGGTACATCTCACAGACCCTGCTTCCCTTGTGCCTCTGCCAGGATGGCATCTCCTGGACAATACTCTCTGTGTGCTGTACTTCAGAGCATGACCTAAGACAGCTCAAATACAGTGCCAGACACACAGCTGGGAAGAAACAACATCCCCCCAAGTCCTTGATGGAGGAAGCTTGTCTTTCACTGCAAGGCCACTCTTGCCCCAGCACCGCTGCAGGCTTTGCATGTGCATCCCAGCAAATCTCAGCTCTCATTCTCTTCCGGATGAGTATTTCAGTCAATTACATATGGCTGCACACAACGTCCCAGTCACATCTTAAGCTTCAGCCTCTAAAGCCTTCACTTACCAGCCAGCTTTGAGAGCTGTAAACTGGCTTTCAGTCTTCCTGTCACAACCCATACGTAATCAAACAATTAGCAACATGTAATGGCACCAATGGATTACAATACATTGATCTGGGTAATCGTACCATTTACACATTTGTGTGTCATGACCTTCTGAATTAATCCCACCTTTCCATTCATCCCTGGAGGTCAATGGCAAATCCACTGCATCCGTCTTTCCTACAACTTCACAAAGGGTTTTATAGTTCTGACAGTACCTGTGTTTATCCTTCCCCCTCCCAAAAAATTTCTTACTGGAAACTCAGCTGCCACATTTCCTGTTGCAATCCTGCCAATGCCACTCATGTTTGCTTGGTACATGAACAGAGGGCTGATCAGGGCTCTGAACACTGAAAGCACAAAGGGAAGCTCACCTGAGGGACAGCAGGCTATGGACTGGCTCCAGTTCCCAGCTGGGTGGGACACCATGCAGGTGGTCACATTGGTGACTCTGGTGCTACATGCTGTGAACTTGCTGAGAACAGTCACTGTCCCGTTGTCGTGGCACCTCTCCTCTGCAGTGGAGCTGCCCTCTGGGGCCCAGGAGAGCTGAGCCGGCGGCTTCCCCGCCGCTGCCTCGCACACGGGGCTGCCCTGCTCGTCACAGGACAGGCTCAGCCTCGGGGGCGCTGCAAAGCACCAGCAAGGGGACAGGCATGCAGTTAGTTTGGCACAGCCGGGCTGGGCTGCTGTTGTCCTCTGCCCAAAATGAACCTGAACTGAACCCAGTGAAAAGAGGAGAATGAGGCTGGGATGTCATCCCATCTCATCTCCTCCCATCCCATCCCATCCCATCCCATCCCATCCCATCCCATCCCATCCCATCCCATCCCAATCACAACATAGGCCCAAAACACACGAGATGAAGAACAGCTCTCTTTTCCCTTTTGCCCAACTCTCCCCCATCCAGTTGAGCCTCTTCACAACCATTCATATCCTCTGTGTGTACATGGGAAATTCCTTCACACCTGTCATTTCTAACTGGACAGTGGAAAAAGGGAGCAGCAGAAGGGAGAAGAGTGATGGGAAATAAGGAGAAAGGAGACACAGAGATACTCCCAATGAAATACATGGGTTTATCCCAGCAAGAATCACAGAATGGCTTAGGTTGGAAGGGACCTTCAAGATCCTCTAGTTCCAACCACCTTGCCATGCAAAGGGACACTTTCCACAGGACTGGGTTGCTTCAAGTGCCACCCAACCTGGCGTTTAACACTGGGATGTCGACAGCTTCTCTGGACAATCAGCGTTCCAAGTAGCACTATCCTCATAATACCAAATATGTTCCTAATATCTAATCTAACCCTACCTTCAGGAGTGTAAAAAAAACCAGCTCCACTTTTGCACATTCCTTACCCAGCACGGTCAGGTGGTACCTTTTGTGGAAATTCCCTTCTGCTGATGCCACACCACAGCTGTTATTTCCCTCCTGGGCTAGTCCCAGTCTCAAGGGCAGGAGGCAGATCTGCTGTGAATATCAAGTTTATGTTGTCACTGCACGTTGTTCTGTGTGTCTATTTCGTATCAGCCCTGTATACCAAGGTGCACAGGCCTCCGGCCTTGGGGATTATTGTCCATTTAAGCAGAGTTATATTTCCTTTGAAAGAGCAGTTGAGAACTGAGCTGTTACCTACAGTCATCACTAAGGATGAGGAGTTGTGTCCTGAGGAGAAAAAAAAGAGAATGTGTGAGAGGGAGCCCAGGAGTTGTGATCTGGACTTCACAGGGAAATGTCTGCAGTGCTACAAACAAGTGTGAGACCATGGCTGTGCTCATCTGCACGTTGTCTGTCATCTCTTCCTGCAGCTGTGGATTATGGATCCAGTGGCCTGTCACAGCCAACCCCTGCAGTATAAATTTCCCACTGAGGATCATCTTAGTGGATAAGACTGGATACTGGAGCAGGACCCTACTCCTGCCCATTGTCTTCAGCGATTCCGCATCCAAAGGCTGTGCTTGTGTGAGCAAATCCTCCAGTGGGCTGCTCACGGGGCCTGAAATACAGGAATGTGACTGTTGCATCCGGCCACACGACAGTGGCTTTTCTCTCTAACTGTTGCTGCCAACAAAACAAACAACTTTTACTTCTGCATTCATATGAAATCCCATACAGTGGGATTTGGCCTTGTCTACACCTTTCAGGCATTACACAGGTGCACATAACACTGGTGGAGCTTTGTGTGGGAGGGAAGAATTTTGCCTCATGGCTCAGGGTTTTCTTATATGTGCATTAGTGTTGCCTACATGTACACAGGCAGCCTCTTTTGTGAGGTGCTTGTGAGACTGAGAGAAAAAAAGAGTCTGAGAGTAGGTTGTAATCCAGTGTGAAGAGTAGCTGAGGAAATGGGACTTTTGTGTCCTCTGGCTTCTGCTGAAGTTAAAAGCAAGCAATCCCTAGATTTCACAATGTTTGTGAACGATACTTCACAATTTTTGGGTTTATAGGAATAATACCCATAGCTGTAGTCCAAACAAACTTTTCTTTATCACTTCACTTATTTTCTATTTTAGTTGGTGGCCCTTAAACTTTGGGACAGTAAACCACTGATCTCTCAGTTCTCTGTGTCAGTGGTGGAAAATGAGTTGCTCTTTGCTTTGGCTGAGTAATGGTTTTAGTTACAGTCTGAAAGCTCTGTATGAGGAGAAAATCTCTCAGGTTTCCTTTTCCCTCAACATCACTGCCCCGTGCAGCAGAATCACAGTGTGAAAACACCCACCCCACTTTTGTTCTGGACATAGGCTGTCCTTTTAATGTAGTCAAGCACAGGCGACAATTTCTGCCCTGATGCTCCAAAGCTTCTAGTAATCTAATTTCCTTGATTATAGTGGTGACAGATTAAATAGTTGAGGAGTCCAGGGCATTCCACTGGAGAGAAAACCCATTCCTATTTGCTGCTAGGTGCAGAGATCCTCAAGAGACTCAAGATCACTTTGTGACCCATTCTACCTGTGCTAACAAAAGCAAACCAGAAAAAGAACAAGGAATTTGCATAATTAATGTAGATCAAGTAGGTAAAAGGATTATAGCTGCATTCTCAGATCCCATATTTTTGGAATTTGCTCTTCTAAGTCTTGCTGAAACTTTCATTCTGAATCTTGTGTCATAAAATCTCATAATACTTCACTTGTCAGCACAAGTCACTAATACCTAAGCGTAGAGCTTGACAGGGTGATCATACTGATCATAAAACCTCACATCAATTATGTTTGTAATAAATTTGTTAATTATAATGAAAAATATTATAATCCAAGAAAATCATTATCAGTTTTCAACAAAGCATTGAAAAGCCCAAGTTCAGCACATTATTGGTCGACAAGTGAAAAAAATCTATTTGCAGCTAGAAACGTTTTGATTTCCAGATAATTGGTTTTTCCATCAAAAAGTCCCTTCAGCAATTTGTAAAGATCCCTTCAACCAGACTTTTCTTTCCCAAAGCATAGCTGAGTACATATCATTCTGATACCCTGCCTTTTCCTCCCCTGCCCTTAACAGAGAGGTGGTGCCAAAGTACCATCAATACCTGTAGTTCCTGTGACTGCAGTGATAGTGAGAAGGACTGTTGGAGATTTTTTCGGAGATGGCTTGGAAGGCAGCTGTGGGGGACAGGTTCTCACAGCCTGTTTCTGTAAACAGCAGAGGTTCTCAGGTTGTTTTTAATTACAAGTAAAAGTGACAAACATGAAGGCCTTGAGAACCTTGCATATCAGAGTTCTCAGGCAGCTTTCTCATAACAAGTAGATATTCTATCTTT